GGGGGGCACCCCCCGCCCCCCCCTGCCCTCCCGCCCCGCCGATAATTCAAAGCAGCCCCTTGGCAGCGCATCCCAACACGCGCTTATCGCCCTCCATCTCCCCGGGAGACTGGGAACCCGCTTCTCCCGCGACCAAGGGAGCTGCAGGGCAGGGGAGGGAAACCAGCGAGAGGATGCAATCGGTCACGCTCCTCATTCCCACCGAAGCGGGGAATAAAGCCAAACGCTGCGTGTGCATCCCCAGAAACACCACTTCCCACAAGGTGCCGGGAATCAACCGCTTGACTCAATACGCGGTCCCCAGGGATGCTTGCTCAATGTTAATTCCCAGTGAGTTAGGGAGGAAAAAAGACATCCAGAACCCCTCTCCGCCTGTGCCCAAGCTCCCACCCCGCCTGCAGACACTTGCTAACACAGAGATAGGTCCTTGCACGCGCTTACACCCGCCCAGGCTGTGCAAACCACCCCGCGCTGACTCACGGACAGCTCTCACGCACGCGGGCGGAACGTGCCAACCCTCCTGCACACACTCCCACAGCCACACAGACGCACGCACGCTCCATTAAAAGCCGCCGAGAGAAAGAGCCGAGGGTGAGGTTCGATGCGCCCGTCTAGAATCCGGTGCGCGGGATGCACATACCTCTGCCATCAGCCGTTATCCCGATGCCGCTGCTGCAGAGTGCCTGGAATTCAGCTGCGTGGAAAGCACAGCAGAGCCGTTAGCTTTTCTAGACACGCTGACATTCATTCTGGGTAATGTTGGATTTATTTTATTTTATTTGTTTGTTAGAATATCATCCGTGGGTTTCCAAGCGGTGTCTGCTTACGTGCAATGTGTATTTTAGCGCCGACACTGGCAGTTAGTAACCCAACCCTGTGGAAATCTCTGCAATGACCTCAGCATCACATTCATGGATCCAACCTCCATTTGTTGACTGCTTGGCATCCCTTTCCCCCTGCCTACGGCTTCCCCGTGTCACTGCTGAGCTGCCTGAGCCCTCTCAGGGATCTGGGATGTCCCCAAGCACCTTCCTGGCTTTTTGCAAACTCAGATGGAAGAGGAGCTCACCGGAGTTCTTGGCCGGACAGGGTTGGCAGGGCTCTCCAAAGCCATGGTCTGGGTTAGCACAGCAGCACTCGGACTTGGTGACGGCTCCCGGGAAGGGCCGGGCGCACGTGCCCTTTTTAATGCCCCCGTAACAGGTACTGCGCATGTGGGTGTCCACGCAGACGCGCCCGTCCACCCCGATGGCCAGCCCCCCCAGGCACTCGCAGCGGAAGGAGCCCTCGGTGTTGATGCACCAGCCGTTCATGCAGATCCCCGGCGTCTCGCACTCGTCGATGTCTGCAAGACGAAGCACAAACCGGCTGTTACCTACCCACGGGCAACGGGACGCACAGATGGGGCTTTGGAGTATTTTGCAGAGAGACTTGGAGACTAAGAGGGAACAGGGGTGCAGCGCAGAGCATCACACCCCCTGCACGCTCCCCTGGCTGGCCCTGACAGTTCAAGGGAACAGGGATCGGGGCTTCTTCACTCTCCCGAGACCCAGCCCCGTCTCAGAGCACCAGGGTTTGGTCTCTGCTCTGTTAACGGGGCAGCGACCCCAAGAATTCACCCCGTGACACAGCAGCACATTGAAGACATGCTGTGTTCTCCTCCTCCTCCTTTCTCCACTTCACATCCTGACCTTCCTGGCTTTGGGAGGTGGCACCAAGCTGCAGAGGCTGGGAAAGTTGGGGAGATGCCTGCTGCCAGCTCACGTTGGCCGTACGGAGCTGTGCAGCCCTGCTGAGCCTCCAGAAAGAGGATTTAAGCTCCAATTTGCACCAAAGTACTGGAGGTACAAGAACATTCTCCCTTGTGCCCATTCTGCTGAGAGCGGGTGATTCCTGGTGGCAGAGCAGGAGATGCCTGGCCACAGCTTTGCATTTTCTCAGCTCCCCTTGGCCTCAGACATATCACAGGTCTCCTGGAACGGGGACCGCAGGCTGGGAAGAGGACAGGGACCAAGCTCGGGGACCTACGCACCCACACAGTACCGCCCGTTGGGAGCCAGCACAAAGCCGGGCTTGCAGATACACTTGAAGCTGCCGTCCTCGTTGATGCACATCCCGTTGAGGCACATGTTGGTGGTGGCACATTCGTCATGATCTGGGGAGGACAGAAAACATGAGCTGAGCCCGAGAGCTGCAGCAAGACTCTCCTGTGCTCAAAAACTCTGTCCCCCATCCCATGGCCCAATTGCTCCTTGTGGCAGCGGGTGCTAATCCTTAAACCAGGGTGATGGAGAACATCCTGCTTCCAGCCCCAGCCCTGCTCATGCTCCTGGACCCCAAAACCTCCAGGACCACTTGCATCCTTACATCTTCTTATTTCAGTGCAGCCGTATCGTCTCCTCTCATTTTAAGACGCACTCTGCCCTAACCGTGTCTACCCAAGACAAAGGGAGTCCAGCCCAGACTAAACTAAGCACCATCCCCCAGGAGGACACAGGCTCAGCTCAGTCCCAGCCCCCTCATCGATGCCGGCACGTCAGGAGCCAGCTTACCGACGCAGTTCTTGCCGTCGGGGGTGATTTCGAAGCCAGCATTGCAGATACACTGGAAGCTGCCGTCGGTGTTAACGCAGCGGCCGTTCCTACACATCACTCCGTTCATGATGCACTCATCGATATCTGGTGGGAAAAAACCACAAGAAAGTAGCAGCAGGCGGAGCGAGAAGCAATTCCAGCTTGAACCGAGAGAAAACCAGGCGAGTGCTCAGACACCGGGAGCGTGCCCTGCTCCCGGATCACCCTCCTCCTCTCTGTACAAACTGCAGGAGATGGAAAAGATGCAGAGAAAGCTTTCTGCATGCTCTGGGAGTGTCATCACTCCATTTGGGAGGTTACACCGGGACCTCAGGCTCTCCAGGATGTCTTTGTCAACTTGCAACTCAAACTACCCTGGGCTTGTTCAAGTCCATCGCGGGCAACAAAAGCTCTGAGATCACCAGCCACGGGCTCAGACCTGCTACTCAGTGCCATGGAGATGTGGTCCTACTGCCTCAGAAAAAATTAATTAGAGGGGAAAATTTGGGGTACAACGTGGCTGATGGCAGGACGGCAGCAGGGAGGTGCTGTGTCATGTATCAAGAACACGATGGCCACTTGCTTTGGGACATGGGCCACTGGATGCCTCCGGGGAAAGACGAAGGGAAGAGGAGTGTCCGTGTTACTGACCCACTATCCAGAGCTGGGGAGGATGGGATGAGCTATTTTATGAGCAAATTACAGAAAACCAACAGTCTGGCCCCCAGCAGCAATGGACGATCCAGACACTGAAGCCCAGATGAAGCGGGGTGGCCCTGCACCTCCCTTTGGGCTGCGCGTGAGCCACGTGGGACTGTTCCTTATCCTGACAGCTCGAGACGTCACAGCTGAAGAATGACATCTAATTTTGGCACGACACGTTGGAAAAGATAAAGACAAAATGGAGGAAGCTGAGAAGATAAAAAGCAGAATGAGAAGCTGAGAAACACTATCAATGAGAGGAGATGGAGACACTTGCCTTTGTTTAGTCTAGGAAGGAGACGACAGGGGGGTTACAAGTTGCAGTTTCCCAACATGTAAAAAAAAGTGTTGTAAAGGAGACAGTGATGAACTGATTTTCACAGCCAGCAAGAGAATCACAAGAAGAATTCAGCTGACAAGATTTAGTTTGGAAATTAGGAAAAACCTCGCGCATTGTCAGGCAACTGGGGGTTCTTTGGAAACCCCTTCATCAGAAGCCTCTTGACAGCAAAATTAAAAAAAAAAATAAATCAAAGATCACGCACTGGCAGGGGAATTTGCCTTGTTCATGCGGGACATCACCTTCCCATAATTTGTTTTTTAGCAGCCCCTCACCCGGATCACCACCTTGCTGCAAGACGCTGCTGGAACAATTTTGGCGAGAAATCACAAACCCTACGTTGACACAAAATTTCCTAAAAAATCCTATCTTTTGTCAAAACAAAATGTTGTCATCTTTAAAGAGAGTTCTGCTCTTGAAAAGGACTCTGTAAATTCTTTGATTGATGCTAGCCAAGTTTAAGACAGATAAAGGAAACTTCTCCCAGACAGAGTTCAGGAGGCTGCTGGCAACTCAGCGACGTTGTTCTGAAATCCCACCACACGCCTGGCTGGGAGGTTGGGTGATGCTGGGGTGGGGGTCCTCCCTCTGTTTCCCCTTTACAAACATTTTCCTTTGGTACCCAAGCCTCTGATAACCCTGCTGACGCTCTTACAGCACACTGTCCTCCCAAACAGAGAGACCGAAGACCCTTACCAATGCACGCCTGCTTCGTGGGGGTGCTCTGGAAGCCCTCGTGGCACTTGCAGTGGTAGGAGCCGGGGGTGTTCACGCAGTCGCCGTGCACGCAGGGGCTGCTGGAGCACTCGTCCACGTCTGCAAGAAGAAAAGCCCAAGCCTGTGAGTCACCGTGATGCAGGGAATGAACTGCAAAATGCCAGGACAGGCACCGAAGGCTGTCTCCCGGGAGGTGCTGAGCCCATCCTCGCAGCTCCGGGGCTCAGCATCCCGACAGCTACCCACCGATGCACTCCCCGCGCACGTCCTGCTTGTAACCCATGTTGCACTCGCAGCGGTAGCTGGAGGGGGTGGGGATGCAGCGGCCGTTCAGGCAGAGGTTGGTGAAGTGCTTGCAGATGTCGATGGTCTGGTTCAACGTGGCGGTGCCTGGAAAGCAGAGGGACAGCATCAGCAGAGGATCAGAGCGATTGTCCCCGAGAAGAAGGGTGGGTACATCCAAACACGGTGACAGATCAGTGATGCTCCTGGGCTCTGAACAGCCATGGGGCTGCAGGCACAAACTCTGCAGGGTGCTGGCGTAGCCCTACCCCACGGAACAGGCATGGGATGGCCCAGCCTCTCAGAAGCAAGGTGGGAATCAATATTTATTGACATCCCGTGCATTTTCACGGGCTCCAGCCCATAGCAAGGATCTATGGGGGGATGTATATGAGAGAGGTGTCCAAGGAGGTGGGAAAAACAGTTTTGTTTTGGGGAGGCAGAGTGCGAGGTGCTGACGTGAAAGCTCCATTGCTATTTGGTAATTAGAAAGATATTCTGCACCGGAGCCAGGCTCGGCTCCCTCGCGCTGCCAGCAGACGCCGTTTGATCTGCTTCTGGGCTCAGCATCCTGCACAGCATTAGTGTCACATCCCATCACTCCCCTCATGTCAAAACAAACCCCGTAGCTGGCTGGGAGTGCGGGCGCTTTGCTCGTGTGTGCACGGCTCGGAGCAGCGGGCCAAGACACGCTGCCTGTGTTCTGGGACAGGCGGCCAAACTGGGTCAGCAGAGGAAGAAAATAATTTTAATTACCGATGCTTGAACTTCCTGGGCCCATTCCAGGCAGACCTGGGATCCCGCCTTGTCCATTCGCCCCATTTGGTCCGATGCCTCCAGGCCCGTTGAGTCCCGGCCCAACACCATTGGGCCCGAATCCAGGAATTCCTGGAAAGTTCCCAGGGAACCCTGGCACGACTGGGAGTCCTTCGATGCAAAGCCTGCGGTACTCATCTGAAACAAAACAGCTGCCTTAGCGCTCTTCCAAGAGTTCCTCAATCTCCCTCCTGCCTCTGCCAGAGCCCCGAGAACAGAGGGATGGAGATGGATGGGAGGGAGCGAAGAGGGTGGGTGATGGTGGGAGCAGGGCAGATGGGCGAGGAGGGTGTTAACACGCTCCACTGCGGAGCAGATGATGGGATAGAGCTCGCCAAGGTGTTTGGCAACAGCTTTTTGGGGTGCGTGGGAGAGTTGGCACCATGGGTGCCTTCGTGCGGGAAAGGAGAGGACACGGGAGGGTGCCAGACGCCGTAAAGCTCTGCTCAGAGCTTGTGATGAAAGAAGAGAGGCAAAGAGATCTACCGACAGCGCTGGGTCTCCTCCTGCTGCCTACACTCACCCTCCTTTGGCCCCACGGTTCCATGAGGGCGGGAGCCAAAGAGAGCTGCAGGGGTAGGAGGAAAGGGATGAATTCCTGCCTTGGCTGAACTCATCTGGCTCAACTTCAGATGAGACCCAGGCGAGAGTGCCAGCATCCCCAGGTGACCTTTCCTTGGTTGTGATGATGATGATACTCCAGGTTTGTGCAAGCCCAGGGTGCCACCAGGGCCATCAGGGCCAGGGGTTGGCCAAGGAGGAGGTCGAGGTCCTTCGCGTCGCACTTACCAGAGCCGCGGACAGGACACATCTCTGGAGTCTGCCCGATGGCCCAGCAACGCCCCGAGTCACAGCAGCACTGCATCTTGGTGTACTGGCCAGGGAGGTCCCCGGCACAGCGGCCCCCGATCAGAGCAGAGAAACACGTCCCGATGCGCTGGTCTGCAAGGGGGAGAGGAGGAGGAGAGGCGTTCACAACGTGTTCCCATCACGCTCTTAGTCAGGACCTGAGCGTGGGATCCCAACGGCATCCCTCCAGCTGTCCAGTGTCCCAGTCTGACCTGCTCTGCCTCATCCTCCCAGACCATGAGGTTCTCCAGCACCTCCACTGGAGGCCATCAAGGCTGTAGGGCCAGGTCTCATTCCCCAGTATCAGATCTCACATTCCCATTTAGGATCCCACATACTATGAGCAGTCTGGCCAAGAGCAGAAGCAGGCAGTGGGTGGGCAATCCCTCTCCATCAGGTTCTCCATTGGGAGCTGCCTTCCATGCCCTGCAGGAACGGACCAACCGACCCAGCAGATTCTGGCTGAATCCCCAGAGCAGAGAACAGGTGAGATCCCCCACCTCATCCCATGGTTCCCCACCTTCCCAAAGAAATTGAATTATTTACAGGTGGCTCCCTCCTCTCACTGATGGGATGTCAGGGACAGGTTTTCTCACTGACCCAACACACCAGCCGGGAGGTGGTCTGCAGGAGACCACCACAAACATTGACACCTGCAGTACTGGGCAGCCTGACCCATCCCCTCAGCAGGGACAGATAAACTGTCCCCAACTAAGTCATATTATTCAACAAAATCGCATCGTGAGGTTGAGATCTCCAACCAAGGGTTGGCCATCAGAGCCCACATAACAGTACAACAGGTCCTGGAACTGGGCCAGAGTGGCAGTGCCCCCTCCTCTCCTGGGCTGTTGGACCCAGCATGACATATTTTCCTCTAACTTCTGCCACTAAAAACACTTCCCTGTGATAAAAACAACCCTGCTACTATTTTGAGGGTTCCCAGGCAGCGAGCGGGCATTCCCCAGCCCTTCCTGAAGCCTCGCCTGCAGCAGTCCTCACCCTTGTGCTCACTTGGGGCAGACCAAGGAGGTCAGCCACCATCTCCTGCAGGTCAGGCTGGGGTCCACGTCCAACCCTTCCAGCATCACCCAGTGATCCCTGATGCTGTGCTAAGCAAGGACCCTTCCACGGCCACCGCTGTCCAGTGCGGTCCTGCTCATCTTAGGCTGGGCACGGACCTGACTCCCCTCCCCAGGACTGATGTAATGTCCCATGTCCCAGCCATCCGTCCCATGGGCAAGCGTTCCCTGCCAGTTCCCAGTGGTCCCAGCATCTCTCGCTAAACAAACGGAGCTGTTCCCAGTTCCTGATCGCTCCCATTCCCCGTGGATGCCTATTTCAGGTCTGGTTCCCACAGCCTGGACCGAGCTGGGAGGAGAAGGAGCCCTGGCTGGTGGTCCAAGTCCATGAGCCCGGCCAAAGCCACAGACACCGAGCCTGGCACCGCTGTCAGGTGTCTGTGGCTTCTGGATGAGACCCAGGAGACGGAGGGTCTTTCACACGTCTAGCAGACGCCGTCTGGCACCAAGTCCTTTAGGAAAACCTGGAATCTTCCACTCACTCATCTCCTGTCCTTGTTTCTCCAGTAAATTAATGAGGGGGAAAGTCTGGTTTGATTTGTCATCTGTGCCTCTGGACTGACATTAGCCAGCAGGCTGACACTCTCCTGAAATATAATTGAAATTAATTGCACGGAGCTGTTTGATCTGCGGGCTGTGGTTACATTTCCTTCTCTAATCGCAGCTCAGCGACTCGCAGAGGACAGCGACCCCATTTAAAGCCAGGGCGACTCAGCCAGCAGGTCTTTTCCCAGATACATCCCTTCTGCCATTCTGCAGCACCCAGTTCAGCACGAACTAGTCTCTTTTTTAGGAAACTTTCTCCACTAAAGAGATTTGCAGAAAGAAAGACAGCCTAGGAGAAGGGATTGAAGGCAACATCGGTTTTGCTCCTGGTCCTAAGGACAAGCCATGTGGGTGTTGGGTCATCCCAAGCTCTTGAACTCTGGCAAGTGGCAAGAATGCAAAAGCGATGCCCACGTCTTTGGAGGTTCCATCAGATGCTGGAGCGTGTTTCCACAGCACGTTGACAGGTTGATGGGACTTAGCATCACCACGTAGCCCCTTCTTACTCCAAAAAGAAGCTGCTCTGACCAAGCCAGGGCAGTGGGGCCGTTTGGAAAAGCCACACCTCAAACCCTTGATGGGAGGTAAGCTAAGTGAAGCCTTCTTAAGCTGAGCTTAAATGAACTTCTAGATCTGAGGGTGGTAGTTTGGAATAAACCCTTTGGGCATTCGAGAGGACAGATCCCACCCGGTTCCTTCTGTTCTTCTGTGGGATGCTTGCTGTCCCAAAAGCTGTGATACCCGGTGACAGCCAGGCAGTTGATGGGCAAGGAGGGATTTGGAGAACACAACCTCCTTCCCCCCAGCCAGCCATGTGCTGACAAGTTTGACAAGGCGGGGAGGTCACGGCAGTTTGTGTAACGGAGGGACCGGTCCAGCCCTTATTCATCTGGACGAATGTTTATTAAATTCAGCTGTCTTTGCTGCAGTTTGTAATAATCTCCCAGAGAAATGAAGGTCAGAACTAATTGAAAACTCATCTGGAGCTGCCTCGGGCAGAGAGAGGGGTGGATGGAAAGAACAGTGGGTCCCCACAGTCCCTCGGTGACCTCCTGCAGGACCACCCACACGCTAGAGGTACGAGCACGGAGCTGTTGGGGTTTTATTCTGCTTTCTTCTGCAGAGTCTGTGCCTGTCCAGCTGGGCCACGATGCCCCCGTGGGTGTCCTGACGGCCAGGAAAACCCCAGACCACCAGCAGCATCCCCTCAGTGGCCATCCAGCACGGCTCATCTCCATCTTCTCTTTCAATGGGGATGGACATCCTCCCTGCGCTCTGCACAAGATCTGCTGGGTACTGCAAGGGATCTTGGAGTTTTCTTGGGATCTTGGAGTTTTCTTGGACTTTCTTAGGATCTGCAAAATGTGCAAGGGATTTTGCAGTTTCCATCCTGATGAAATCCTGGTTTTTTTTTTCTTTGGTGCTGGGGTAGGGGAAGGGAGAGACGGAGGAATGGAAAGTGCTGGTACAGCTTCCCAGGAGAGAACATTGAAGGGCGAGTATTTTTCTCACTTTGTGTCTTGTCATGTACAGAAACGGAGAAGCTCAAGTGACCAAACCCAAACAAACCAGTGGTTTCACAAGGCAGTTGGCTCTGACTCCAAAGGACCCGAGGGCTGTCAGCTCAGAAGGGAGCTGCAGCACAGCAGCGTGTAGCCAAAGGTCTCCCACCCAAGATGTTCAACGGCGCCTGCTTTGCAAGAAGGGTGCGAAAAGGAGCCTCACGCTGCAGTGAGGACAGTCTGGACTAATGATGCCATCACATGTTCTCTGTTTCGGGAAAACTGACCCATTTCTTTCTTGTCTTAGATGGTGGGGTCTGTCTCCATGAAGAGTCATCCCAAAAGAATCCCAGGATGGTTTGGGTGGGAAGGGACCTCAAAGCCCCCCCAGTGCCACCCCCTGCCATGGGCAGGGACACCTCCCACTAGCCCAGGTTGCCCAAAGCCTCATCCAGCCTGGCCTTGAACCCCTCCAGGGATGGGGCACAAAGCATCCCTCTGTGCACAGCTCCACCAAACCGCAACGCCCACGGCACACCTTGGCCACCAACGCTGCTGCCGGCTCACTGCCGTGCAAACGGGCACTCCGGGCGTTATTGCAGCACCCTTTCTTTGCTGGCAAGTGCTGTAATAAATTCCCTCCCTCCCTGGCTCTTCACTCTTCTCCAGATTCACCTCCCAGGTCAACTGTTACAAGGCTGAGGTATAAACACATCCCTGAAATGATCCGATGAAAAATGATCATCTCTGTGGGGAAACGCTTTACAAACGTGGACGGAATGACCCAGTTTGCAGCCCAGGTCCTTGCACAGGTTCACGCTATGGAGCCTTTCTGCAGCCTCTGATTCCAGCAGATATCCAGCAAACCTCTGCTCGGGGGCATCGCCAGCTCTTGGGAGCTGCGGCAGGGCTCTCAGCTCCTTATCAACCTGTTTTGAACCTCACACCGCTCCCCTTTCTTCATTTCTTGCCCTCATAAATATTATTCATTTCATATTTCCTTTTTCCTCTTGTTTTTTCCTTTCCTGCATAATGACCAAAGTGGGCAAAAAGCGTTCTCCAAGCAGGTGAGGTCCTCAGCAACCTTCTTTAAGCCCAGGACTTGCAACGATAAGCAAGATCCAGCCCTACCCAGAGCGTCAAGCAGTAGATCTGCTGATGTCGCCCAAGAAAAGACCCGAATCTCACGCAGCTTTGCTGCACTATCAGGGAAAAAAAAAAAAGAGCAAAGGAAGCAATGTGCAGGAGCGCTGACTCGCAACGAGCAAGGGAACACCATGTGCATGGCTGGAAATGCATCTGAAAGGCCATTTTTTCTCATTGGAAAATTCTTCGTTTAAGCGGTTCTTGAAAAGCAACCCGTTGTACTGAAAAGGCAAAAAAAAAAAAAAAAATCTCGCAGCCTGCTGGAGCAGATCCTTCTGCTGCCTGCGAAACACCGCGCCTGTCTTTTACAAGCACAAATGAATGAAACCGTTATGAACATGTGTGGAACTGGATTCTTGGTGTCCAGCACAGGTGGTTGAATCATTCCATAAATGTTCGTTTCGAACGATGACGGACTTTCTCCAGCGAGGCGGCTGTTTGCGTTTTCCCGGGGAAGGCAGTGAAAGCAGCTAATGAGATCTGGGATCAACCCAAGCTTAGTGTCTTGCTGTTTCAGCTGCAAAAACTCCAGGAGATTATTCCAATGCAATAAAAAGGTGTTTACTTTCCTAAAAAGGGAGGGGAAAAGGATGGGGATACATCAAGGCTGCCACCATCAAGTCACCCCGGAGCCAGTGCCGGTGCCCCACGATCCATGGGACACTCTGGGCACTCCCAGTCTAAGCATCTGCGAGGTGACAGCGTGACAATCCCTTCTGCTCCCTCCTGATGCCGTTCGTGCTTTAAGGGCGGCCGCATTATTTATTCATTTTCCATTTTACAAACTATTTATGGGATTGATTTCATCGGGTGTAAATCGTAGCCTGAAACGACCATAAACTCTCCGAACGAGCACTAAAACCCCCTCAAAGGATAGAAGCAGGGTTTGCAAAATATGGATCCCGGGGCAACGACACCCCAACAGTAACTCTGCATTTTTGCCAGAAAAAATATTATCTGTCCCAAAACATGACAGCACTCGAGCAGCGTATATTAGCTCAGGGAAATGACTGGAGCATGATGTATTGAGTTCAGCTGCAGTCATCGCCCGCTGCAGCTAACTAAGCTGCGGGACTATTTTTAAATTTGGGCTTTCTAATTTTATTTCGTTTTCGTTTCTTGAAGCACTTGGTTTCAAGGAAAGTGGGGAAATGTCCATATGACTCATCCGACAGCCGGCACACCCCTCCGGGCTTACGGCAGGCGCTGGGAATCAGGGAGGAAAAGAATTTCATTCTCATTAAAATCGATCAGGTTCCCAAACAAGGTGACTCGCACGTTTCTACTTTACAACATTTTTCTTTGCGGAACTAGAACATGATTAATTTTTACTCCAGGTTCTGTGGATAGAAAAGAATTCAGATTTTTTTTTTTTTTTCCCCTGTGATAATTTCCAGGACATTCAGCAGAAAGCCATACCTGACATTTTCCATCACACTAACAACGATCTTTGCCTTTTCTATACCAGTTCCTCTTTACAAACCCTCGCATCCTTGCCTCTCTCAAGGCGAATGAATTTTCTGATCAGCGAGACAAACTCTGGGATTCATTCTGCCTCCAGCAAGTGGCCCTGCTGCGAGCAAGCAAACAGAGAGCTGGTCTATTTATCACCGAAACTGGTGTCTGTTACAGAGAGAAATGGACCATCAAATATTTACAAGGCTTGGAAAGGAATTTTGATCTGTTAAACGTGCAAGATTCCCTCCAGGCTCTGCCGTCTGGAGGCAGGACAGCTCGGCAGGCTGGGGAAAGCTCGCCTGGCCCCCCGCCAGCGCTGGGAAGCTTTGGAATACAGACCCCTTGGATCAAACCGAGAGCCACCGGAGAGGCACACGCCGGCCCCACCGAGCCTCTCCGGCCGTCTGCAGGATGGGGACGCAAGGCTGAGATTTCCAGACGAGCCTGGGGGTCGTTCTGTTGGCAGAAATGCTGCGGGAGGAAGGTGGGGTGCAGGGATGGGTGTGCGGTGCCTGGGAATCACCTCCTGCTCTCCCCCGGGGACGGAGGGGTCCGGAGGGGTCCAGACAACCAGCTCCGAGCAAAACAACCCACTCCCGAAAGGCTGAGTTCAGTGGGATGAAGCCAATCGAGCTCACAGCCCCACGGATGGTTAGCTTGGGGCAGGAGGGGTTTATGAGCCGTTACCTGTGGTCTGAGCAGGAAGGAGGAGATGATAAAAGCCACCGGTTGTTTGCACTGGTTATGCAAACACTCAGAGTGAACCTTTCCCCCCTTCGCCTCTGCAAAGCGAGCAGATGAATGCACAGTTGTGTTCCCCATCGCTGCCTCCCTCTCTGCTCCGGGAAGACTCACAAGCCTTCCCTGAGACTTCCTTGGACTTCCTTCCCTGGGACTTCCACGGTCCACAACCCAGTTGGAGGGGAGCACTGGTGTCCCCCTCCAGCTGACATCTAACGCAGGAGAAAAGGGGCAGCGCCGGGGATTGCCCCGCTAGCCGGTGCAGCTCTGTGAGCGGAAGCACCAGGATCCTTCCTCAAACAGACCAGTAACCAACTCAACCAGACACCTTCCACCCCAGCCTTACTGCTCCCAGCAACCCCTTGGCCAACCCTTCGAGCATGGAGGCTCCTGCAGCCCAAGTTATGGGGATGGAGAAAGCCCTGGGGTCTGCAAAAGCCTCAAAACCAGCAACCAGGACAGACCATGTCATCCATGGCCCATCCAAGGCCAGTACACGGAAAAGAGCATTTTCCAGCTCTTGCAGGAACAACCCACCCTTCGCTTTGCAAATCTGGTGGCCACCAGCTAGCGATCCGCAAATCCCCAGCTCTGGGTTTCAGAGTGGGATCCCTTCCCTGTATCCTTGGTCCTGAGATGTATCGAGCATCTTACCGATGCAGCGTGATCCGTCGGGGCTGGTCATGAACCCGCGCGGACACGTGCACACGTAGCTGCCCGCCGTGTTGGTGCACTCGCCGCCGTCGCACACGCCGGGGATCGCGCCACACTCGTCCACGTCTAGGAAAGAACAAACCAACAGCCGTTGTGTTTCCCTGCAAACCATCTTCCCTCCTCCCTGTAGCGTGGAGCTGGGACCAGATTTGGGATCCCCGAGGACGGCAGCTGGTGTTATGGGTTGTCAGGGGATGCGTGAGGCCATAAGTCTCAAGGCCAGGCTGGATGAGGCTTTGGGCAACCTGGGCTAGTGGGAGGTGTCCCTGCCCATGGCAGGGGGTGGCACTGGGGGGGCTTTAAGGTCCCTTCCAACTCAAAGCATCCTGTGACTCTATGAGCAGAGACAACACCATGTTTTTTAAACGCACTGAGCTCCGGCGTTATTCACCGAATTTCTCCATCCAGGATGGATTTGGTTCAGTGTTAAGTACGTTCAGCCACCTACATACTCCCAGTTAGGCAAGGGGGTCTGGACACATCACTCATGGGTTCAGCTCCTCACCCAGCACTCCCAGTTTGGTGGGATTTGCATAACAGTGCCACCAGCATGCCCTAGTTTGGACTATTTATCTCTTTATAGGGAAGATGAGAGAGATAGAGATGTACGGAGTCCTTGGAGAGCTCACACCTCATTATCCCCGGCAATCCAAGGAACACCCTCCGCGTTAGCAAGACCCGCCACACACTGCCCTGCAGCAGCCCACTGCCACGTGTGTGACCTTATGACATGAGGTGCATCCCTCTGGATTTAAGAGCTCGGAAAATAAGGACACAGCGACAAGATTTTGTCAAGGCAAAAGCAGCCATCAGAGGGAGCAGGCAGCCCCAGCATCCAGAGGTAAGGCAATAACTGCAGAAAGGTTGCAAAAGTACCAAAATTCAAGGACAACCACCCCAGTGATGTAGTTCTGCCATCTGAACCGATGATGGGCTCTACAAGCATCTGTCTAGAGTGGAGATACGGCAGAGCCTCACCACGAGCTGACCATGGAGCCCAGCCCCACCACCGTGGATGCCCGGACCCTGAAACGGAGCATCTCCATTTGACATCTTGCTCAGAGTTAGATTTTGCTGGAAGAATTGAGATGGAAAGATGAGATGCTACAGGGTTTGACTGGGAACTGTTGAGTTCTCCAAACTTTCCAGGTCATTTATATCATCACCTTGAGGAAATTCTTGAGTTCATTATTACTTTGGCTCTTTTTATACTGAGTATTTAAGGAGCTTCGTGCCCTTCTGGTTAACAACAGCTGGGAAACAACGCAGAAAGCCCGAAAGCTGCAGCTGAACAAAGCCAGAGTGGGACAGAGAAGGGTGAGGACAGAGCAGAAAATTCAACAAGCACCCATACAGACGATACGGGGAGAGACAGCCTACAACTTTGGTGTGCCGCGATCACTTGGGACCTGAAACTTGGGAAATCAAAGGGAACGAAGTGGCAAATCAGTGATTTTGAAAAGGGCAATCTGTTTTCAACAAATTTGGACCAAAATGTCAATATAACTAAATGTCCAGGGCCCAACCATGCTTGGCTCTCAGAGCAGGGTTGTAGATTTTCTTCTGTCGCCAACTGAAATCTGGTTTAGAAGCTGCGATGGAATTAGATCCAAACTCTAATTAATGCACCCAAAGAAGTTTGTTGGTGGTCATGGTCCAGGTGGTGGTAAAAGACAGAAGGAATATCTGCCTGATAGTTCTTACAGTGGGGAAGAAAAAAAAAAGGTGTCTTGGCAATCGGCAAAACCAATTATTTCTGCTAAGCAACTTTATCTATTGTATTTTAAATCTATCGTGCTGTCGTGAATGGATAAAGGGATTTTTATACGCAATTCAGATGCTGCCTGGGGCTGGCAGGAAAGTAATGAAAAGGAACTGGTCAAAGTCTGCTCCTTGGAGGGGATTTTTCTGCTGTGAAGGGCGTAACAGCCTCGCAGGGCCTGATGGTATTAGCATGTGTGGAGGTCAGGGTTGCTGCAGGGCAAAGACTAAGCTGCAAAAAAAAAAAAAAAGAAAAAAAGAAAAAAAAGAAAAAGAGAAAAAAAAAGAAAAAAAAGAAAAAAAGAAAAAAGAAAAGGAAAAAAGGAAAAAGAGAAAATAAAAGAAAAAAGAAAAAAGAAAAAAGAAAAAAAAAGAAAAAATAAAAAAAAAAGAAAAAAATGAAAAGTGATGAAAAAAAAAAGCAGAACAGCAAAGACCACTCATCTGGGAGTGGGATGGAGGATGTCTTGGGAGGAGCTCATCTAGCAGCTGAAAGCAGCGCACACCCATGGGAACGTCACCTGAACCCACAGAAAATAAAAGAAAAAAGAAAAAAGAAAAAAGAAAAAAAAAGAAAAAATAAAAAAAAAAGAAAAAAATGAAAAGTGATGAAAAAAAAAAGCAGAACAGCAAAGACCACTCATCTGGGAGTGGGATGGAGGATGTCTTGGGAGGAGCTCATCTAGCAGCTGAAAGCAGCGCACACCCATGGGAACGTCACCTGAACCCACCCCATTGGGGCAAGGGAGGGACCAGGAGACCTGGCTGGGGTGATGGATACGAGCCCCAGGGACAGATCCCAGAAATGGGCAGGGTGTGGGGTACCCGGAGGGGTGGTGAGCTGTGTCCTGTCCGGTGCGAAACAGAAAAATTGGAGTTGGGAAGGAGATGTCTGAGCGCAATCTCACAGTGCCCTGCGGTGGCTGGCGATGCTAGTGCAGCCCTGGGGATGTGGGGGAGAACCACGGAGGTGATGGTATCTCCAAACCAGGAGCGGTCCTGGATGTCACAGCTCTTGCAACAGGGTGTGAACGAAATGGAGGGGGTCAGAGTCTAGAGGAATAACTCCTGGCCTGGAAAAACCTGCCTGGCTTTAAGGGACTAGCAGGACTCGATGACATTTATCCAAAAAAATTGTGAGGATGTGATGGGATCATAAAAAAAGAGACCCACAAAGATGATGCTGAGAGCCCAGTGCGCTGCAGTCTCTAAAAGAAAAGAGGAAAACTGAATCTGAGATGGCATAAATTCAGGCTGGAATGAAGCAGACAGATTTACACCAACGGTAAATAATCTTTGGCCCGTGTTCCCAGGGACAGGACTTGTTCTCCAGGGCTTGGGATGGATCCAGCTCACCAACAAGGTCTGTACAAGGATTCCCTGGCATAGGCACAAATCCAAGGGAGCAGGAAATCCGGCCGCACAGAGGTGGCTCTCCAGGACTAAGTGTTTTCCTTGGTCCTCCAGAAACATCCCCATAAACTTCATCCTTCTCTCTAAACGCCAAGCAGCCGCCAGGAGCCCTCTGCCATCGCGTCCCAGGCTCCGCGACCCCACCACACCAGCCCTGGCTGCAGGGTGGGACGGCCACGGATGTCTGATGATGGCAGTTAATTCCCATCACCACAAAGCCCCCACCTTGTTCCGAGGGAAAAGAGGTCCAAGAGGCTCTGCACTGGTAGAATTCTGCAGAAACGACCTGCACAGGGCGCACGCCGAGGTGCGGTCCGATGTGTCGGATGGTTGTAGAACGAGGCGCTCCATCAGAGTTTTTTCTCGATGCCACTTAAACTCAGCAGAAAAAGATCATCTCATCCAGGCTAATCCACCCCATCTGAATGGAAATGTCTAACCGGAGCAGGAGAGTTGTGCCCCAACAGGGATGATTTTTCCCCACAAAGTGAGATGCAGTGAGATTCACCCAGCCCAGCCCCTGGCCATGTCCGTGTTCAAGGTGAGCCGAGCTGCCTTTTGAAGCGAGGTGATCGGACGGACAGAGACCCCCGTGGGTGCTCCATGTGGCCAAAGAAACAATCCTCAATCTCTGCCCCTTGCTCACACAACCTGTTACAAACCCAATTCTGTTATACTTCGGTTGCAACACTGAGTCCCAAGGAATCAAGTGCAACCTCCATTTCAACACGCACAAAATTAAGCCTAAAATTAAGTTATATGCTCGTATATCAAGAGGGGAAGATGCATTCCTGGTTGCCTTCTTAGGAACTCTAAAATTATGCTTTCAGCTAGCCAAGGATTTCAGCCACTTTTTGCAAGCAGCAGCGATACCTCCCCATCCTCGCAGCGCTCCTGTAGATCTTGGATGCTCAGAGCCCCTCCGACAGCCAGACACGACTCGAACCCTCGAAAAGCAGCAACGCAAACCTACAGAAAACACTTCCCCCACCTGGGCCCCTGCAGTGCAAGAGATTTTATCACTGCAGCCTGCCCTGTCATTTAATTACAGCCCTGTGTTTGGTTACAATTTGCAGAACACTGGAAAGGGAAAGAGCTTTATGAAGCAATAGCTGGTTGTACGAGGCGAAAGAACAGCTTAAAACTTGGGCATGGCTTTCCTGAAGTTTGCTGGAAGTTTTCTGGAGGCCAGCTGACAGGCAGGCATCTTATTAGATCAATACCGATGGCATAGCATCCCTCATCCAAAAAAAAAATATTTGTGGGGGCAACAACTACATTCCATCCTTAAGGAAGAACGGAATTAATGCAAAGGGTTAAATCAAACTGCAGCTTTTTTTTTTCTCCCCCTGAAAATCCTCACTCAGAGGAGAGCAGTGCTAGCAACCCAAGAAGTAGGAAAAAAAAAAAAAAAAAAATCCAGAGTTTCTCAAGCCTCCTCGCACATCCTGTACTTTGAGAAACCGAGCTCCGGGCTTTGTTGTCATTTCAGTTCTTCCCCACCGCATTCGCTTTCTTTATTTTCTCTTTGTAGAGCGCCTCATAGCTCTGATTCATTCACAGCTGAAGCCCGCGGACTGCTCGTGGGATGGATTTGTCCACCTCTCATTAACACCCAGCTGCCAGCTCCGGCGAGGGAACTCTTCCAACTCCAACCTGGCCACTTCGCGACTTTTCCAACTCTCTGTTCAAAATTAAAGCAATATTCTGCGGGCTCTGCTCTGCAGACAATGGCAGAATTCAACGCGAACGTTGATTTTGGACCCGGTCTCCAAGTGGCTGGGTTGGAGTTGGCCTGATCTTTAAGGCTTGAACATGTTGGAAGCCAAAGGCTACAAGAGCTTCAGAAAGAGGAGTTGGGAGTCTGCAAAGCCCGTCCAACGCGGGTGCCC